CAGGGACCAACAAGTAACATATTTTAACGTCTTTTGGTATGACGCGGTCGGGGATCGAACCCGTGACCTTCCGCTCTCCGGGCGGACGCTCTAACCACTACACCACGGAGGCGGTTAGTAGTAGTAGTAGTAGTAGTAGTAGTAGTAGTAGTAGTAGTAGTAGTAGTAGTAGTAGTAGTAGTAGTAGTAGGAGGAGGAGCAGGAGGAGGAGGAGGAGGAGCTTGAATAGGAGGATCATATGCCTTAGATTATATTGTAGAATTTCCTAGCGTCTTGAATACAAGGAAAGACCATTGTCTTTGTTACTATAAGCACTGCTCTTGTATTACATGTACATTACCGTTGAAACGGTACTGCCACTCTATTTAATTTGTACCTTCATAGTGATACCTTTGTAGTGGTTGGGGGACTTGGTTAATTTTAGAATACAGTTGTTAATTACAGCACATTTCTTTGTTGTTTGTATTTTTCACACCTACTTCTTCTACATTATGTGATTTAGTACATCAGCGGCCAAGCGCTCAGATATTTTACCCCGGACAATTACAAGCAGCAGACAACATTGCACGCACACGCACGCACACGCACGCACACACACAGTGTTATACGCACACGCACACTCACGAACGCACACACAGACGCACTCAAAACGTCGCTTCATAAGTGTAATAATGTTGATCAGGACGTCATACCTCATGTCTTCTCACCTAACCTCAGGGGCGGTGGGGTAGCCTAGTGGTTAAAGCGGTCGCTCGTCACGCCGAAGGCCCGGGTTCGATTCCCCACATGGGTAAAATGTGTGAAGTCCATTTCTGGTGTGCCCCGCCGTGAAATTGCTGGAATATTGCTAAAAGCGGCGTAAAACTACACTCACTCACTCACCTCACCTCATCGTTCAAGTTGACACAGTGAGAACAAAACTGTTCAGATTGGATCTAAATCCAGCAAACGGACTCCTACTCTTGTTATCATTTAAACATGTTTGTCAAACCAAGACACGAAAACGACAGAGTCATCTGAATGACAAAATCAATTAAGCATTCCTGGTCGAATCTGTGCGGAGAGCGCCACTTTAAGACGCTTACGATTTGTTGGCTTCATATCTGTACACAGACTAAACCCAAAGATACGGGTTGATGAACCGAGCCAACTGCAGACAGTGTTTATCGGCTTAGCGTCCATAAGACTTCACGCACTTAACACACGTACTTAGCGTCAAACAGTCGTGATACATACACCGTATAGGACAACACAGATATGTCCAGGGTTTTCTCACTGTCACTACAACCCTTAACAGTCTGGCGTGATGTTCTCCCCATGACATCCAGTCGTGTGTATATTGATCTACATATCCCGACCCTCTCTGTGCACGATCTCCCCTACATCGCACTGCTGGCACACCACGTGCGAACTACGTACCGCTATGTTCTAGGTGACCTTATTATATAAGAGGGTGTGACACTTGCATGACAGGTGAGGGTGGATCTAGTTGTGAGTGAGTGAGTGAATATGGTTTTACGCCGCTTTTAGCAATATTCCAGCAATATTTCACGGCGGAGGACACCATAAATGGGCTTCACACATTTTACCCAAGTGGGGACTCAAACCCAGGCCTTCGGCGTTACGAGCGAACGCTTTAACCACTAGGCCACCCCACCGCCCTGTGAGTGAGTACGGTTTCACATAGCTCTTTGTAATATTCCAGTAACACATGTCTAGAATCGAACCCAGTCGCTTTAGCAAACATGCTACCCATCGATCCCTCCACCCTCCAGTTGTAAGGGGAGAGTATATGCTTCGTGGGTGGGTGTGGGAGCGGGTGTGGGTGTGGTGCAGCGGGTGGGTGGGGGTGGGGGTAGGAGTGGTTTTTTGGGTTTTTTGTGTCTTCACAGTGTCAGTCATGTTTGGTGCGAGTGAGCGACCGGTTATATGGAAGCCAGCGACCATGGACATGGACCCCGATCCCGTTAGTCGCCTCTTATGATGAGCATGGGTTACTGAAGATCAATTCTAACCCGGACCTTCACGGGTACCGAAGTAAGAAGTGATCTTTAGCAGCCCGTGCTTGTCGAAAGAGGCGACTAACGGGATCGGTTCAGGTTTGCAGACTTGATTGACACATGTCATCGGATCATAGTTGCGTATATTCATGCTCATGATATCAATCATCCGATTGTCTGGTCCAGACTCCATTATTTACAGACAGCCGTCATATAACTAGAACATCGCTGGTTGCGGCGTAAAACAACATACGAACTAAGTAGACGCACGTAGTCCATTATTATTATTATTATTATTATAGGATATTTATATAGCGCACATATCCAGGCAACTAGTGCTTGCTCAAGGCGCTGGTATTTTTTTCCCTCGATCATTGGATGTCAATCTCAATGGCACATCGTATTATCAATCTCAACTCCCTGGGGAGTATACAACTCTTGCAGCCACTAGGCGCACCGAGTTATTGTGGCTTTCTCATCCTAACGAGGTACCCATTCACAGCTGGGTGTACTGGGACACATAGTCACAGTGCGTTTGTCCAAGTTCACTGCACGTTGCTGTACCCGCAACTAGGTGTTTGCACGTATTCATGTGGCCACCATCTGGTCATGTACCAACGGATTCGTGGGTTCTTTTAAGTGAACAGGGTTGTGTACTGTTGTGTACATACAAACCTTTAAGTGCTTAAGTGAGTGGATACGATTTTATGCCGTCTTTTGTAATATTGCCTCAGTATTACGTTGGATGAGACCAGAAATGGGTTTCATTCACTGTAACCATGTCGCAACATGAACTCCGGTCTTCGACGTTAAGAGCAAAAGCATCTGTGTTTCACAAAGTTCACATTTAACGATGAAAATTTATGAAATAATTTAACGTCGCTGATATAGTGTTTATTTTAAGCAGAAGAAACAACTTTCAAATAGAATTATTTCAGATCAAAGTATGACCGAGCCGCACGGAGAGTTTGGATGAATCACTTTAATCCCCGTTTGGGAGAAAAACCTTTGATCCCCGAGCACTGTAACGAGATACGTCACGTTCATACACAGCCCAGTGCTTCTATTGATACTGCTAAACTGAACCGAGTAAACGCATGACGGCGATTTGTACAGGGAGATCAGGTAAAATCCGTTTGTATGGAGTAACCATTGAGGTTGTAAATGAATACCAATCATATACATTGTTCCCAGATCTGCCCAGTTGCACCCCCGGAGATCTTACACCCCATTACATCCCCACACCGACGACCACGGAGAGCTCTCCCTGGGAGACAGGAAGGCAGTCACATGAAAAGTCGAACAGTCATCTAATGTAAGGTGTTTATATATATACTTTATTTTATAATACACCGAAACCATTTCATACTAATCACAATTATGTGCCTCCTTTGGATAGGGTAAATACGTCAGACATAAAACATAATTCTACCATGACTTCAGTAAATACTGGATTTGTGATTGGTTAATTAAAGTCATTCAGAGGTATATAATCACGTTATATACCTCTGATTTTCCAACACAGTATGTATTTTTTTTAAATCTTAAGAACGCAATTATGGTAGAATGGAGATAAACATACTTATAATAGCTCTAAATTTGATTTAAAACCGAACGTGTAGCTTGAGGTTTTAAATAAACAAATTAGAGCTATTATAATTCCGTTATATCCCCCTGATTTTCCAGCACATTATGTTTATCTCCTAAGTGGATAAGAATGAACACTTAGGCATGAATTAACCCCATAATTATGGAATACTGTAAGGGACATTCTCGCGATCTCGCATTCTCGCGATCTCGACCTTTGGAAACAAGGTAAAAATGCTAAAAGTGCGAGAATGCGAGATCGCGAGAACGCGAGATTTCGTATTCTCGCACTCTTGGCATTTTTACCTTGTTTCCAAAGGTCGAGATCGCGAGAATGCGAGATCGCGAGAATGTCCCTTGCAGTTTTCCATACATAATACATGCAGTAATGTATGACTACGTTTAGAGTCCAGGTAGACTGAATGTCATCTTAAACCACAGATCTGTGGACGCATGTGATATTTATGTTTAAGAGACGCTTTACATCCGATCCGGGGTTTTTATGTATTTAACGTACAGCTACAGGATATCTTGAACTTCTACCTAGAAGATATCGATCTGTGTAAGCGTCGCTCCAATGCTTATAGACACTATATAGATCCTGATAGACAAGTATATTATATGCGCCTGCATAAACGCTTTTAGATTAGATTGTCCGGGTCTATGGTACACCCCGTTCTATCTGTTGTGCATATTGGCTCACGAGCACATCACAGTTGTAATGCTGTGTTTTATACCACTGTTAGAGTTTCTGTATATTTTATATAAGTAACTCTGATAATCTGAGATAAGCGTTAAGCTGTGGGTCTTATATTCAAGTATTCGTTGGCCAAGTCGTGGCGAGATAGGGGCACAATATGGCTGATGTCATGGACGATTTAACACAATGCACAATCAGATATTCGTGTCAGCTTGATCTGGTTACACGACTGCGGGAGTACTTATATGTCGATACACTACAGAACGAATTGTTCAGCTGGCGAGAACTACAACAAGGTAGAAGATCGTAACATGTAGGTCTTAATCTACAGCATTAATTCCCCCACGGGAGGCGGGCAGATTGGCCAGCTAATACACCCCTATCGTAGGTCAGGGATCTCAGTGTATGGAGATTAATGAACTCGCCAGATTAGATTTGTTCCGACCCTGTTGCCAAGAGGGGCAGTCATACAGAGTATTGGACACAGGAGGGGTGCACGTGTTCTGGGAGAGAAGGGCCATCTCCCTTCCGAGCTGGTGTAACACGAGGGAGATAGCATCACTGGAGGGCGTGTGATCCTGCCCTGTTGTGTTGGGTTTTGTTGAGGAACAATACTTCAGAGGAAGTTACGTTAGCTGTTTACAACTTCACAAAGACACGTGTCGCTGGTGTTGATCTTGTATTCATTGGAACAAGGTCCAGGTAACAGTATACCATTTTACCGTTATCTGTCACCAAGCCATGATGTTGTCGTGCAGTTGGAGGTATGGAACCAGACGAGCCGCAGACAGACGTTACTGACGCTGATGCCAGCTGGACACTTTCTACATATATATCCATTCAACTGTAACCATGACAACAATGAGTGATGACTAAATTGACCAGGGGACCGTATATCGGTGTATGTTGACACAGAAGAGGGTTGGATTTGTATGAATATGTGGTAAATATGCATAGTGACTACTTGACCTTCAAGGAACAGGGATTTCGGTGATGTGGTTTTCCTGGATTTTGTTTCACGGAGCTATTTTCACTGGTCACAGGATTTATGTCAGGGATTATTCAAGTCATTACCCATAAGCTGGAGACACTCCAGTACAACTTGACATGAGAACAGAATACTGGTGTGGGTCTATGAACTAATCCCTGTTTACCGGTCACCAAGTGCTAAACGCAAACATCTTCAGGCAAAGGCTTGACAAGGAGGGAGGATTAAAGTTCACGTACGTCTGAGAGAGCATGTCTTATTAGTACGATAAAAGGAGTGTCTCATGTGATATCAAAGCTGCCTGTACTGTTATAACGCGGGTTATAGTGTGAATGTAGGTATACAGAACGTAGATTTATTGTGAAGAACGTTTAATTTTTCAAATCATTATAATGCCTACGTCTGCGACTCGGCGTCAGTCCCCCTCTCGTCCCCGCACCTCCCAGAGCTCCGGGGGGAGACTGAGTGCCCGTCAGGCGGTTGGGAGGGAAGAAGCCCGGCCGGGCGAGTATGAAATAGAACTTCTAGAGTATGAGTGGCCCGACCTGCCTCCCATCCCAAACATGAAGGACGCCATCACGAGAAGACGAGTCAGCAACGGCATCACGTATCTACTTCCGGTTGACAAGGGTAAAAATTCCATCAACAGTCATTTCAGGACGGACTTGCGAGCCATGTTTCAGGAACCATATGCAAGTGATGATCTTAAATACGATGACGGTAGAGTTAAACTTAGTGCCAAGGTCCACTTCACTTCTAATACAGCTGACACAAAATGGACAAAAGATCATTTACGATCACTTCCGGTTGAACTTAATGCTAATTCTGAGCAGGTCCGGAAGTTGTATACTCGGTCGGCTCCTTCCAGTGCGTCTGCAAGTCGAAGGATGGGCGTCGACCCTGGTAAGTTAAGAAAAAGGTCTAATCTCTACCTGCCAATTAAGGCACGGGTTCCACCGGAAGCAATCAAGATCAGAAAAGAAGTAGAGAAAATCATCAAGAGCGTGCAAGAGGATGATGGTGAATATGATGAATCCAAGGGCGCAGTCCACGAGGACAACGTTGAAGACACGACTCACGTCCCAGAAAGGAGAAAAACACTCGTCTTTGACGACAGCATGGTAATGGATGGTAACCAAAGAGTGTCTTCCCTGACAAACAGGTTTAAAAAGATAGATTCTCCCTACGGGAAGCAACATTTCAACTCATACGAAGAGTTACGGAGAGCTAAACCTCCACGAATTACAATCCCCGTCGCATTTAAGTCGCAGTTTTTGTCGGAAGAGAAGAACCAAGAAATCTGGGACTGGTTACATGACGGGGATGCGCTGAACGACTTTGAGTACTTCCTGTCAGTGTGTGGGTGAGAATTCTGTGTGTTGGTGACCTTTCGCCACAGCTACAGCAAAAGAATGTTGTGCGTGTCCAACTGAACCTGTTCCACATGCCTGTTTACGTACCCTATGTCCTCCCAATGGATATCCCCATGCCTCTGAATCTGAATCTGACGCAAGTAACGATATTTCTCAAATTATTTGCAGAGCGGATATAGAACAGAATATCGACGAAGGTCAGGATGGGTAAGCGCGCGTGTTGATGTTCGGATAAAAGTTGCGTGAAAAGCACTTTATTTATACCCCAGACAATACCGGACTGGATATCCTATGACGGGAGTCGAAATTACCATGTGTTTGTTCTATCTGCGATGGCCCCTTCAATGCCGTTATCCCAGAGGTGACTTTGTTGAATTGATTGATTGTTTGTTGTTTTACGCCGCACTCAGCAATATTCCAGCTATATGACGGCGGTCTGTAAATATTAGAGTCTCGACCAGACAATCCGGAGATCAACAGCATGAGCATCGATCTACGCAATTGGGATGCGGTGACATTTGTCAACTAAGTCAGCCAGCCTGACCACCCGATCCCATCCCGTTAGTTGCCTCTTACGACAAGCACGCGTTGAATTCAGAATTGATCTTCAGCAACCGATGCTTGTTAAGAGGCGACTAACGGAATCGGGAGGTCTTACTTCCTGACTTGATTGATAGACGGCACCCGATCCCACCTGCGGATGATCATGATGTCAATCACTGGATTGTCTGGGTAGAAGAGTGTATCATATGTACCACCTGTGTAGAAGAGTTTATCGTATCCCAATTGCGATGCTCAGGATATCAGTCACTGGATTGTCTGGTCCAGATTAGGTTATTTACAGACCGCCGTGATATAGCTGGAGAATTGCTGAGTGCGGCGTAAACAATAAACATACAAATAAAACTCATAATTACCCCCATTATCAGTAAAACACAGCTATTTCGCCATTATTCTCAGAAAGAGTACCCAGACTTCGTGTATGTCTCTTACAAAACATGACGATTGAGTGCCAGTATTGCTTGATCAGCGTAAATGACAAAATGGTTCAGGGGCATTGATTCACTGGTAGTTTTCATACAGTGAAAAGATTTATATATCCCATGAGTGAGCTACCGTATATAGTATTAATATCTGGTTGAATACTCACCAACGTGTGCTTCATGTATGATGTGTTCATTAACCTGAGAATCAAGAGAATGAACTGGTTGATCTCAAAAGTCGGACTGTCTATCACTTCCTACAGAACAGGAAGTGACAACACGCAACATTCCTTTTTTCATACACGTTCTCGGCACATGCGCTACCTCAAATGGGATTCCTTTAGCACAACATGGACAAATGTGAGAAATGAGCTGAATTTTATGTCCGTGATAATGGCATGTAAGTAACATTTAGAAAGGGACTCAGTATTCAATATAATAAAATCAACATCAATCTTATTATCTTTTAACGCAACATGGGCAAATATGAGAAGGTGAATGAGCTGCATTTTGTGTCCGCGATAATGGCGTGTCAGTTATATTTAGAAAGGAACTCAGTATTCAATATAATAAAATCAACATCAATCTTATTATGAAAAAGAGGCAAGACTGAGGTTCGAGCCCAGACTCGACGGACCCAAGCACCACTGAGGAATGTAAACTTAATGCGACTTGTTGTTCTTAGAACTTATTAAGGTCAGTCCTAAAGTCTCAAGTCTTGTTTTCCTGCATTACTGCAGCGGAAACCTGTAATGGTTTCCCTATACCCTGAGGAAAGTTTAACTTGAATCTGATTGACGATCAATTAGTGCAAGAATCAGAAAATACTTTCTGTCGCCTTTCCCTAAGGGGCCCGATATGTCCGCGAAGGTTTCTAGAATGATACACTGGTATGACATTATAACGGGTACTTTGTACACATCTGTTGTTGCTAAGGTTACACTGGCTACCTGTATGTTTGAGATATTAGTGTGACTGAAGAATTATTTTATGTGATTTTGATTTTGACAATAAACTTGCAAATGTTCCACTCGATTTTACTCCATTATCTGGACTTGTGCAAATTTGACCAACGTCAGCTCATGGCCTTTAGTTCATTTATGCGATTACCATACTCGGCCATGAAGATTCCTTCTGTAAAAAGGACCCCTGGACAAATTGCGGGAATGGTCATTTCACTGTCAAACATTCCTCCATGTGATCAGACATACACATGCCAGTACCCAGACACTCTCTTAGATACATACACACACACCACACACACACACACACACACACACACACACACACACACACACACACACACAGAGAGAGAGAGAGAGAGAGACACTCACACAGAGAGACACTCACACAGAGAGACACTCACACAGGGACACACACCAAACACAATGACACATTCTCACATAACCACACACTCTCTCAAACAAACACACACAGACACAGAGAGAGAGAGAGACACACACACACCAAACACTATGACACATTCTCACATAATCACACACTCTCTCAAACACACACACACACGCAGTCACACACACACTGCGACAAACACACATGTCGGTCGTTATATGTACATGCAGTAATCCAGTAAACCCCCGTTTCGCCTCACCTCATCTCTTCTACTTGAGTAACTGCCCCTGAAGTGCCCGGAGGCCGTAGCGAAATACACTGGTTGTTTTCCTGTCTTAGAGAAAACCAATGGTTTCCTATCACTATAAACAAGCAGATTTAGTACTGGCACGTCTGGTCAGCGTGACATAAATGTGTGGGTCACGATAACCCAGAAAGGTTTGAAATAGGCTTGATTGTTCTAACAATGCACGCACAATCATCATAATCAGACGCGGGTTCTAGTAAGATCCAATAGGGCACAAGGCCACAGCGTTGAGCAATGTTCTTGATATCGACAGACAGTATATCATCAGGATAACATCCCTGTAAAGCCTGAACTCCTCAACTGATGGTTTTACCAGGAATTATCACATTGGTAACGACAGGACCATGTCGCTCAGGACCACGTCGCTCAAGAGCAACGTTACCTGTCATAAATTGCTAGTTGTTTAACCCTACACAGTGTTCCTGCTATATGAAGACCCCCTGAGACTGATCGAGTGTTGACCAGACAATCCTGTGATTGAAAGTATAAACAATTCCTGACAGAATATGCTGACAACAATGGGCGAGTGTGTTTAGTTTTACGCCGCTTTTAGCAATATTCCAGCAATATCACGGCGGGGGACACCAGAAATGGGCTTCACACATTGTACCCATGTGGGGAATCAAACCCGTGTTTTTGGCGTGACGAACGGACTCTTTAACCACTAGGTTCCCCCACCGCTATGCTGACTGCAAGAGAGAGAGAGACATCAGCCTGTGGCTGTAAGCGTCTCTGTGTGTTAGGGGATGGGTGGTGGTACCTTGTATACGATACCAGTGGAGATCCGGGTTAGAATTGGTCTTCAGCAACCCATGCTTGTCCTGAAAGGCAACTAACGGGATCGGGTGGTCAGGCTCGCTGACTTGGTTGACGCATGCCATCGTATCCCAATTGCATAGATCGATGCTCATGTTGTTAATCACTGGATTGTCTGCTCAAGCGTCGTGGCTGCAGTACAAACCAACAAACCGTTAAATAAACCAACCAACAAACCAACAACCTTGGATAAGACGCAAGAATTTGCCATGCAGAGTAACGTCCCTTGAGCGTGGCTGAATCACGTGTCTGTGTTCGTATCCTTCCTTGTCATGACACAGTGCTCGTGGGCTTCAACAAAGTGACGCACAAAGGTTTTTGACCACAATGGTAACTACATAGATATCAAGCATACGTCGGTGATTGGTACAATCAACTGGGACTATTTCTTGCAGGTAATGTTGTACGTGACCGAGTTTAATAATCACCCCATCATGAGATCACGTCTGTGTTCCTCTAACTGAAGACCCGTGAAGATCCGGGTTAGAATTGGTCTTCAATAGCCCATGTTACGTATCCCAATTGCGTAGATCGATACTCATGCTGTTGATCACTGGTTCACGATTATGCACAGACCGCCGCCATATAGCTGGAATATTGCTGAGTGAGGCGTAAAACTAAACTCACTCACTCACTCCTCTTACTGAAGGCAAAGGAACGTAAACACCCAGGGAACGTCGATAGCAATGTATTTGATATGGGTATCACCGTTTGATCGTCATCTTTCACATTTTGATAATATTTGGTGTATTTGGGGCAAATCTAATTTTTAAGAGTATATATACCTGCTGTTTCTAATTCTTATTTCAAATGTCGATTGAATTGCAATCATGTGAAACTGGAGATATTGTTGGTACAGAAATTACATTTCATTTACAGTATTGATATAATACAAGCATTTTCAGACATTTCAAGTTTAGAACATATATTTAAAACCAAAATAAACAACATTATGAAATCTACTGTATTTTTGTCGACACTGAAGATGACATGACCCTTATTTATTTTACTGGGGCGGTGGGGTAGCCTAGTGGTTAAAGTGTTCGCTCGTCACGCCGAAGACCCGGGTTTGATTCCCCATATGGTTACAATGTATGAAGCCATTTCTGGTGTCCCCCGTGCTAGAATGTGGCAAAAAGCGGCGTAAAACTAAACTCACTCAATCTCTATTTATTTCATTAGCATTTGAAGTTAAAAAAATAATATGGCTAAAGTGTATCACAGATAAAATCCCAATAACCAACAATAACAAAAAACTTGAGATTTTCGAAGTTCACACACACACACAGCAATAGTTCACACCGAACATGTGAAATGAAAGGGAGATAACTCCTGCACAGCTGCAGAATAAGTACATTGTATCATCGCGTCGGCGCTGCCAGGTGCACGAACTATTCCTTATCACCATATATATCCTATATCAAACAAAGTACATAGGTTTAATATCAGGCCCATAGTAGTACCTTTGCGATGATAAAATGTTTCATGAATAATCGTCACCTTTTCCCCCTCGCATTGCCGGAATATATTCATTAGTTTATTAAAAATAAGAGCTTATAGATACATTAATCCTAACCAACTGCAAGGCCTCAAACGTCTCGGATTTTCTTCGCAGGGGGTATGATGTCACGGTATTACTATCCACCAAATATTTACTTACTATATGACATGAAACTTGACAACGCAAGTCGGACCCCGCATGTTTTAATGAGTTTGTCAACAGAGATATGGCAGCAGATCACATTACACAATATATCTATTTGGAGCTATCACGTGGGGACTACCTAAGCTTCCAGGATCGATATGTGTTTCATGTCACTTAAACGCCGTGTCTTCACTAGCATTTCTAATCTGACGATATATTTATGTTCCATATATCGGTGACATAAATATAAACTGATGTTCAAAAGAAAGTACACACCTGATTCTTTGGTATAATATTTTCTTTAAAACAGGATAATATTTAAAAAGTGTTTTTATTCTGCCTTGTCAGAAACATTGTGCAAGTGTTTCCAAAACACCACATATATTGTACCCAATTACAACATTGCTAGCAAAATATTTATGGACTTAATGGGAATAGTCCCAAAACACCAGGTGTGTACTTTCTTATATACGTCAGTATAGTTGCGATTGAATGAGCTGAGGTGAGGTGAGGTGAGGTGAGGTGAAATTGGGTAACGTCGTGCTTGAGAATATTTCGCTCATATGACGACGTGCATGCGTGTGTATGTGTATATGCGGCTGCTTGTACTAGCCCAGACTGAAGCTGGTGTTATAGTGCTTGCCCACTGAGATACCATGCCGCAGTGAAGCATGAATACCCCACTCAGACACATTATACTGACTCCGAGTCGACCAGTCCTTGTTGTACCCATTAATGCCGAGCGCCAGACAGGGACCAACAAGAAGCATATTTTAACGTCTTTTGGTATGACGCGGTCGGGGATCGAACCCGCGACCTTCGGCTCTCTGGGCGGACGCTCTAACCACTACACCACGGACGCGGTCGCGATTGAGTGAGTAAGGTTTTACGCCACTTTTAGCAACATTCCAGCAATATGACGGCGGAGCACACCAGAAATGGGCTTCACACATTGTATCCATATGGGGAATCGAACCCGGGTATTCTGCATGACGAGCGGACACTTTAACCATCAGACTACTACACCGCCTCATAGAAATGTGCGAAATACAATGGGGACTTCAGACAAAAGAGGTTTACTGTTACCCTAAGCTTATGATATCGGGTGCTTGCCATTTGTGATTTGTCTGATGTTTTGTCAACAAGCTGTCAACCAATGCTAGGCCTCGAAATACTGTCATACACCGTTGTGTCGAACTTGAAGTGACCTAAGTAAATGCTTCGAGTTATCCGAGGTTCAACACAAATGCAACATGCCACCCTAAGCTTATGATATCGGGTGCTTGCCATTTGTGATTTGTCTGATGTTTTGTCAACAAGCTGTCAACCAATGCTAGGCCTCGAAATACTGTCATACACCGTTGTGTCGAACTTGAAGTGACCTAAGTAAATGCTTCGAGTTATCCGAGGTTCAACACAAATGCAACATGCCACCCTAAGCTTATGATATCGGGTGCTTGCCATTTTGTGATTTGTCTGATGATTTGTCAACAAGCTGTCAACCAATGCTAGGCCTCGAAATACTGTCATACACCGTTGTGTCGAACTTGAAGTGACCTAAGTAAATGCTTCGAGTTATCCGAGGTTCAACACAAATGCAACATGCTACCCTAAGCTTATGACATCGGGTGCTTGCCATTTGTGATTTGTCTGATTTGTCAACAAGCTTTCAACCAATGCTCGGCCTCCAAATACTGCCATATACCCTTGTGTCGAACTTCAAGTGACCTAAGTAAATGCTTCGAGTTATCCGCAGGCTCGACACAACCGTAAGATAATGACTAAAGAAGGAATGCACAGGACAAGTTTATATTTCGGGACAACCGTATGTTCGACATATCAAACTTCAATACAAAGGAGTTTGTAATCACTTGTAGCAGAGTTTTTACTCGGTGGTCATTGGAGAATTCCTATGCAAGGGGCATTACTCTAGTGTCGCACGCGCTGGGCGTTTGAGTCTGATATATCAAAAGTAGGAGAATAGACTTCAGGTATAAATTCCCACCATCCTTCACCTGTCAACACCTGTAATCGAGAATTCGACCACAGCAGTATACGACGGTGAATCGTGTCATTTTCATTCTCTCCATAACGTCATGCTAACACACCGTGGTGTTGATGAAATACTGGTAACACGGCGCTTTAAGTCTCCCACGAACCCATCATAGTCATCACTTGCTCGTATTCTAGATTTGCCAGTTCGTTACACCTGAGGACATTAAGCCTCAATATCACACTTTAGCAACAAAAGAAACAGACAAAGAGAAGAAGAAGAAGAAGAAGAAGAAGAAGTATAATTTATTGCTGTGTCACATGCTGAATTACAATAAAAAGGCATTTCATTATTCCAGGGTTTTAAAACAGCATCCGGCCAAATGGCCTATGAGGAATAAATAGCCCAGTTATATAATAATTATAAAGTCACACCACCACATACAGACACGCAAGTAGAAACATACACACAAACGCACAGACACACATACACACAAACACACAGACATACACAAACATATAATGCCACGTGATGCTGCTTCACAGAGAGATTTTACAGCCCCTTCAAACATTCCACACTTCAGATTTCATGACCTCTTATAGTTGAACAAATAACGCTTCCTTGGGCTGAAATTTTGACCAATTCGTCTTATAACATTCGAAACTATAATCACTACCCGCAAACACAAACGACATTAAATATTTGTAGACAAAGGGGAATAACTCCTGTCTGCTTAACACATCAATGATGAGTATTGTGGTAGAGCAGTCGTCTCCCGGACGAAGGGACCCTGTTCCCGAGCTTACCCAACACCTTTTTCCCATCGGTATCTACACGCAAAAAATAATTTCCTTCTGATATAAATACCAGGTGTCTTATATACTGGGTCTTTCTTAGATTGATAAACACACAGTTTTGGCTAAATCGTTGCTTATCAGACTAATGTCCCTTCACCCTTATTTTGAAAACATGAGACAAATATTTAATGTTAATCAAAATTTTGTTCAGAGAACATTATAATGTTTTAGCACCCGTGAGGATCCGGGTTAGAATAGGTCGTCAACAGCCCGAGCTTCTCGTAAGAGTCGACTAACGGGATCGGGTCGTCAGGCTCGCTGTCTTGGTTGACACATGTCATCGTATACCAACTGCGTAGATCGATGTTCATGATCACTGGATTGTCTGGTCCAGACTCGAGTAATTAAAGACCGCCGCCATATAGCTGGAATATTGCTAATTTGCTAAGTGCAGCGTTGAACAGCAAACAAACAATTCTCTTAGCAAGGACCATGGGTTGGATTTATTTGTTGATGGCAACATCTGCATTATACATGTAAAACGTAAAAGTCATAGGATTGATGATGTTGAATGACCAAGATAGTTGAGTGAGTGAGTGCACTTTTACACCGCTTTTAGCAATATTAAAGCAATATCATGGCGGGGAACACCAGAAATGAGCTTCACACATTGTACCCATGTGGGGAATCGAACCCGGGTGTTCGGCGTGACGAGCGAACGCTTGAACCACTAGGCTACCCCATCGTCCCTGAATGGCCAAGTAGTAGTCCTGAAAAGTTGCAGGAATTTCTGTGATATCTTGGACGTACCTAGCCTATTGTAGGCAGTTAAAAGGACTGGTAATAAATAGGTAAATTTTAGTTCACAATAATGCTGAATATGTATCCGTTGTGTTGAACAATAATTGTGTGACTGCTTTAAGAGTATCATTGTTAACTCAGCGAAAGGCATTAATGTTTGAAACGGTCGTAAAATGATAACAAAATCATTGGTTTTATCTCATCGTGGCCCAACCATCTTCACACAAACTGAATTTATTTACAGTATTTCAAGCAGTAGCAAAAATATGTTCATGGTTGTCGACTATTTACATGTGGCATTGTAACATAGATATGCTGAAAATACATACGAAATTCTAATTAAGCAATTTCTTGGCAATCGCAAATTATACACAGCATGGCAAGTCCCAATGGAAAATACATTTTATTAATTTTCTATAATCATAAAACATGTCCAATAAAAGCATGCATTTATGAATCAACATCACACAAGGAAGAAACCTGCTGTTCTCTTAACATGCGAGCCTGTATTACCTCTCTGGGAGAGGCGATGGGATAGCCTAGTGGTTAAAGCGTTCGCTCGTCACGCCGAAGACCCGGGTTCAATTCCTCGCATGGGTACAATGTGTTAAGCCCATTTCTGGTGTCCCCCGCCGTGATGTTGCTGGAATATTGCTATAAGCGGCGTTAAACCAAAATCACTTACTCTCTTGGGCACCCCCGTCACTAACACACGCAAAGCCAAGTCAATAGCTCACATGAATACATGTACATATTAACACTGGAGCATATGGCATAAGTCAAATTAGATGACGTATATCGGACATACATCGTGTTTGGTTTTCACTTTAATGTTCACAGTTATTTTGGTAGCCGTTTAAAATATGTTCACTGTACAACTGTATTGCTTGAAGAATGCTGGGACTGAGATTTGAAACAACTAACACAGTTAGACTGTTTATCCAATAGAAGACTATCTCTCACTGTCTATTTCAGGCAAGTGGGGTGGTAGCGATGCGGGTGTCAGTTTACCACCACATTCTTCCAACCAATCGGAAACTCGGTCCTCCCTTTGCTCGGAATCACTATACAACCCGGATGTTAGCACTTCCTGTGTAAGTCCGGGACACGTGAGTTTTGGTTTTGCGTCGTCATTTTGGGTGTTTTGCTCGTCTTCAGGTTGAACGTCGCGTAAGGTACGTGAATGGATGTAGTTCCCTTGTCCCCCATACTCTCTCACGGCCTGAAACAGAAATAAAAGCAGATTTGGTTGATATTCAGTTGGAGTGTGTATTTGAATTCACCACAATTGGCGGTGGGGTAGCGGTGGGTAGCCAAGTGGTTAAAACGTTCGCTCAGAACGCCGAAAAACACTTGGTCGTTTCGCCACATGGGTACAAACTGGACCTGTTTGTTTCATACGGTGCACTTGTTGCATACACTCACTCACGAGGCTTCTTTGTTCTGAAGGGGCGGTGGGGTAGCCTACTGGTTGAAGCGTCCGCTAATCACGCCGAAGATCCGGGTTCGATACCCACATGGGTACAATGTGTGAAGCACCTTTACTGGTGTTCCCTGTCGTGATATTGCTAGAATATTGCTGAAACCGCCGTAGAACTAAACCCACTAACTCACTCACCACAATATGAAATGTTTCAAGAAAGAAACCACAACATGTTTAGCTATTTATGCCGTCTTTTATGTCAAGGTAGAGCTGGTTAGAACCAAATGTCCTAAATATGATGCATATTGTTATTTCATATTGTACTTCGTGTTTGGCGGTGGGGGGGCGGTGGGGTAGTCTAGTGGTTAAAGCGTTGGCTCGTGGTGTCCCGAAGACCGTGGTTCGAATCCCCACATGGGTACAATGAGTGAAGCCCATTTCTGGTGTCCCCCGCCATGATATTGCTGGAATATTGCTAAAAGCGGCGTAAAACCAAANCTGTGATTTTAGGACATCTCAGTCAGTCAGTATAAAAGAATTAAAGAGAGGCAACACTGTCTCCGTTGTCTCTGTGTCATGTCATTGCAGGTGCAGACATCACTATGCCATCTTCATCTACCGGTATCAGTGTCACTGTAGGTTCTGATCTATTTGTCCCATTGTCCCAAGGTGTGTGGACCTTCTAATTGTACCATTGTCACAAGGTGTGTGGACCTTCTAATTGTACCATTGTCTCATTGTGTTCTGTGAGTTCTAAATGCACCATTGTCATATTATATTTTGTGCCTTCTAAATGAACTATTGTCTCTGCCATCTGAATTAAGAAACACCAAATCCAAAGACCTTTTCAAGTCTCTCCTAAATAAAACCCACCTCTTCCGCTCAGCATTCCACTAGACTTTCCCAACTGTTTGTGTATATGTGCATGAATTTGGATTCAACTTAGTCATAGCGTCAGTGGGTACCTGTCGATGGATACTAGGCGCTTAGTATTGATGTTTTGTACCTTCTACATGTACCATTGTCACTTTCTGTTCAGAAGCTTTGCGAGGTAACAGTTTTCAGAAAGCTGGCTGTAGCTATATAAAGGGCTAGACGAGGGCAATCCCAGACCGTGTGTAATTTGAATTATGATTTACCAAGGCTATCAAGGGACATCTGAAAAGTCCGACGTGCATTGACTTGTGTAGTAAATAGTGGTGGTCCGATTAATTGAAATAATCGAAGATTGGTCCTAGTGACAAAACGACCAAGCAATCGATCATAATTTCTCATAATCGAACACAACCAATTTTGGAACACTCGTTTTCATTAACAATATTTTTCACATGGTTGGTTTTGTCTGTTACATTTTGTAAGCACTACAAGCTCGTTTCAAGTCATGATTGAATTTATTATAAAGATTCCAAGAAATTTATGTTCCTAACATACTAGTCATCCTTTAAAGATGTGAAATTTTGCCCAAAAGCCCCAAAAGAACTACATTGGTTTTTTCCTTATTTTTATGTGCATTAACAAATTTCATAAATGACGCTAACCAATTATTTTCGATGATTGGTCGGTTGTAAAGAACCAATCATCAATTATGAGATTTTAACCAATTCCCAACACTAGTAGTAAAGCATGTACGTTGCTGTTGTTATAACTTATTTTACCCATAGTTCCGCATCTGTGATGGTGACCCTAACCCAGTGTTCAAATATAATGTATTTTCTGCCATCTGTAGTCGTTCAATGATTTCACAATTTAGTTCTGTTTGATAGCCTTTGTGTTTAACTTGGTAACCAGCTGGCATACATTGTCACATCATGTTATTTTACAAATGTCATTGTCACCCAATGTCGTGTGTGTTCTAAATGTACCATTGCCATGTACATGTTCTGTGCCTTCTAAAGGCACAACTGTCACATTACGTTCTATGTACCATTGTCATAAAATGTTATGTACCTTCTTGATGAACCATTGTCACATTGTGTTTTGTGCCTTCTGGATGAACCATTGTCACAATATGTTCTGTCCCTTCTAAACGTACATTTGACAATTTATGTTCTGTGTCTTCTAAATGTACCTTTGTCATAAATTGTTATGTGCCTTCTTGATGAACCATTGTCACATTGTGTTTTGTGCCTTCTGGATGAACCATTGTCACAATATGTTCTGTCCCTTCTAAACGTACATTTGACAATTTATGTTCTGTGTCTTCTAAATGTACCATTGTCATAAATTGTTTTGTGCCTTCAGGATGAACCATTGTCACATTGTGTTTTGTGCCTTCTGGATGAACCATTGTCAAAACATGTTCTGTCCCTTCTAAACGTACATTTGACAATTTATGTTCTGTGTCTTCTAAATGTACCATTGTCATAAATTGTTATGTGCCTTCAAGATGAACCACTGTCACATTATGTACTGTGTCTTATTAAGGTACCATTGTCACTTAATGTTTTGTGTCTTTTAGATGAACCATTGTCGCATTATTTTTATGCCTTCTAGATGTACCATTGCCACAATATGATATGTGCCTTCTAAATGTACCACTGTCGCATTACGTTTTCAGCTTCTTAATGTACCTTTGTCTTAATATGTTGTGTGCCTTCCAGATGAACCATTGTCACATTGTGGTTTTTGTGCCTTCTGGGCACAATATGATCTGTGCCTTCTAAACGTACCTTTGTCAAATTATGTTCTGTGTCTTCTAAATGTGCCATTGTCACAATATATTTTGTGCCTTCTAAATGTACCATTGTCACATTAAGTTTTATGCCTTCTGGATGAACACGTGTCAAATTACTTTTGTGTCTTCTAAACGTACCATTGTCACAATATGTTATATGTCTTATTAATGTGCCATTGCCATATAATGTCCGGTGCCTTCTAAGTGACCCGTTGTCACATTTCGTTCTAAGACTTCTAAATGTAGCATTGTCACATTGCGTGTGCCTTCTGAATAAACCATTATGTCGCAGTATATTCTACTCTCAAATCTAGATAACTTTAGACAACATGCCGAACTGACAGAAGTGCATCATGCATAATAAGTTATCTGGGCCTGTGTTTTCCATTGACCTCCATCCCCAAAGGAAATAATTTTTGTTAGACACGAATAACCGTGTGTCATCCTTGTTTGTAAAGATTTAGTCTTCGATTGTGACACCATAGTAGCAAGTTTAACAGTGCAGAATAACAGTTACAGTGACTGTCTCTAAATATTCTTCAACTGACGTTGGACGAGTCTGGACCAGATAATCCAGTGATTAACAACATGAGCATCGATCTACGCAATTGAGATACGATGACGTGACAACCAAGTCAGCGGGCCTGACCACCCGATCCCGTTAGTTGCCTTCTACGACAAGCATGGGTTGTTGAAGATCAATTCTAACCCGGATCTTCACTGATACTTCAACTGAAGTAGTTTGGATATAATGCTTACTTACTTGAACGCGCAGTTGGAAGGTCTCCTCTTGGTCCCAGATCACCTAGGTGTACAGGAACTCCAAGATCTCCAGTTGGAGAGACTGTCGGTGTCATCGGTGGGCCTATTCTTATCTTTATGTGTCTCGGACGATGGGTATGACGATCAAAAGACACGTGTCGTGGCCTAGGACCAGCATGTAGTCCGGTGTCTCCACCACCGGGTGCCAGAACGGAGCGTGAGCTGGAATGTTTCCCTTTTTCTCTATGATGAAAGTGACCCAAGCTATGATTAATCCCTAACCCGGAGTTTACATAGGTTCCTAGCTCAAGTCCATGGCAATGTGAATGTGTATGCGAGTGGACTGGTACAGGACTTCTCCGAGGAACTTCTTTATTATCAGGAACACGAACATGAAGATGATTCTTCCTTTCTTCTCTATGATGAAAACGACCCAAGCTATGATTGATCCCTAACCCGGAGTTTACATAGGTTCCTAGCTCAAGTCCATGACAATGTGAATGTGTATGCGAGTGGACTGGTACAGGACTTCTCCGAGGAACTTCTTTATTGGCAGGAACATGAATATGTAGACGATGCTTCCCTTCTTCACTATGTCGGAAACGACCCAAGCTATGATTTATCCCTAACCCAGAGTTTACATAGGTTCCTAGCTCAAGTCCATGACAATGTGAATGTGTATGCGAGTGGGCTGGTACAGGACTTCCTTCAGGAACATCATCATAAGCATATAGACGTGTAGGTGTGTACATAAGGTCATCGTCAGCTTCATCCTCCGTGCGAAGTATTGTCACCATCCCTTGTGTGAAGGACAGATCCGAGTCTCTCCTGACAGGCCAGGACCTGTCAGACATGCTACCCTGTCTTTCTGAAGGTCTTCCTCTGTCTATTTGCGTAGGCCTATTGTGAAGCACCACCGGTAGAGCCATGGTATCAGCTTCTGTCAAAGGACGCCATGGAGATATATCCAAGTCTGAATAATGTCTTGATTTGGACTCTGGTTGCCTCTTGTTCGAGGTCGTCTTTTTTCGATGTGAAATCCTTGGTAACGGTTCTGGAGCGCTGGAGGTTTTGCAAAGAGACCTCTTCATACTTATCACACGGTGTTCAGGCGGATGCTGTTTTAGGCAGCTGGTGTCAGAAGACGTCTGTATACCCTTCTTGTGGATAATTATTAAGTCACAAGTTGGTCTCAGGGTAATGAAAATATGTGGACGAAAACAGCTTCATGAAACACATTCACAGTGAGAGGACATTCAGCAAATGTATGTAATCCATGAACGAGTTCAGTGAATACCCGAGTTGGCACGAACACCTCCTCACCCGAATGTCACAACAGGACAGAAGACAGATAGGCTTTATCACCCTATCTGCGTCTATCCACTCACAAACATGACCCCTCAACCGAACCCCTGTCACACGGGAACTGGTAGATCGGAATCACAACGTTATATCATGCAGACATATCTCACAAAATATGTGCTCCCCAATATGTCACAAAATCGATTTCATAACTAGGTAGGAAAACACCTGACTGATCAGAGCTGCAAAAATCATTAAAGTACTCATTCGAAGACCTCTACATGCAAAGGCAATATGGACAATATCGATTAACACAGACACACGGTGATCAGTTGACATACGTTCAATCTATGACCAGGTGTATCGTGATATAATGATCAGATCCCCAGATCAAAGCATGTACAACATATTCATGGCGTTCAAAGGGTTCGCTAATCTGATACTTAGATAGTATAGCAATCAGACCCACCTTGCCTAACACACAGGACTGCACACACGCTAAGCAATGGAGCTCAGTGTTCCCGTTGTTAAGAACTGCCCTACTTCATTGTCCATCGTAACTAAGAATATGTCTACAGCGACACGTTGCATTAGATATGCACATTCTGAGTTGTGGCCAGGTATCAACCATATGTATACGTCATGCTTCAACCTGAGTTGTGGACAGGTATTAACCATATGTAAACGCCATGCTTCAACAGACTACCAAGCTAATAAGCTAACAAAAGCAGGCTATAAATAACCTGAGTCTAGTTGACAGCTAGCGGCGTCAAGGTGATTTGTAAACAAGAACACCGTGGTATTGTGACGTTTCTCGTCATTGTGGAGATACATGTAGTAAATCGATCTGCCACGAGGTACACGCAGTGTGTCATGATATGGCTTAAAGTACGAAGGAGTGCCCCATGGGTATGATCCCGAAAATGATTCTTCAGTTGCTGGAACGATGTAGTAAACTGATTGCGAGGTATATTTTGTCAATACTATATATTTTCGAAGCATCAAGTTTTATTGGTTCAATAAAATATTCTCAACGTCTCTTGACATATCTTATAATGTTGATAAACATCCCGAATATCACCGGGCGGTGAGGTAGCCTAGTGGTAAAAGCGTTGGTTCGTCACGCCGAAGACCCGGGTTCGATTCCCCACATGGGTACAGTGGGTGAAGCCCATTTCTGGTGTCCCCCACCGTGATATTGCTGGAATATTGCTAAAAGCGACGTAAAATTGAATTAACTCACTCACGAATACCCTGAGAAATTTGCGTGTCCCCTGTTTTGAAATAATGGCGATCTAAGACCTCAGTAAATCACTGCAATTCATATCCGAAATGAACTTAAGGGTCTAGTAAATGGTTAATAATGTCGGATGTATTTCGGCTCCCGAACTGGGAGATTTTAAGCAGTAGCCACACTGTAAATAACGGCGATGAACCACCACGGTATTATCAAGTAAAATCTTTTAAATCTTTTAAAAACTATTTTCACATTTTCTCATATATATATGTGGTATGCCTGATCATATAGATTTAAAAAAATATTAATTCAAACGTATATTTCAGTGGATACCTTTTTATTTTTATGCGTAAACGTCTTAAATACAATAAATGGGCTTTTATATAGATAACCATTGCATGAATTTTTTTTAATTTTCAATAAATACATTGTTTTACATGTGTTTTCAATTGTGAGTGTTCGTAAGCAAGAGCCATACATCCTGTGTAATTTCATTAATCCGCACTCTGTCTAAACTGGATTAAAGTTTGGGTCCCACACACTTTTATCTGAACAGATGCCAGAGTATTATTGGTTTCATGACATTAATTATGTTGATGACCACGACCTTTAAGCTGCCCTCGTTCTTATCAATAAAAAATTAAAACTTGAAAGAATTGGATTATTAAATATTAATCTAATTTCACCCTTGAATAATACATTTGAATTGCGTCTTTGTAAACGGTCAATAAATATCTCTGTAGCGACATTAAATGTAAATGTTGTGTGAGTAATGTCAATATCGACTCGCATTGACAGTAGGCAGGTGGTGTACAATGTGTGATAATGTCACAAGGGCAATATCACCTCACAATAACCACTCTACCATGACAACAGAAATATTTGGAAGCAAGTCTTGTGTCATGGTAATTAACTTCATCATAATTATGAACAGGCACTGTGATATAAATAATACCCTAGCATTACTTAATGGTCATATTACCAGTGTAGCGCGATAGACATCTAACAATTTGGTGAGACTTATAATGCACGCCGTGTAATAATGAATCGTATTTTATATGTACTCTTTTGATATGTAATATGGAAGGTTTTTGCCCACTTCATTATCTGGTAATAAGCCTGGGACTACAGCAGGGAGGTGTTCCACAACCATGAGGTTCCTACCATTCCAGCAATTCATTAACATTAATTAAACTGCAACAGGCCTATCCGAGCTATATTAAGCTAGCACACGCTTCCTCGGGGGAAACATTCGGGAGGTAACGAACTAGGTAATAGCGTCTCGTGGTGGCAATGGTGAACTGTACTGCTGGGTGTCCCCCCTCCCTGCTTCCCCCTCCCCCGACATCATAACGTGACACAGTTAACGCCCTTGTATTCTATGTAACAATACGTTCTGTATACTGGACCTGGCTGCTTCATACGGTGCACTTGTTACATACACACAATCATGAGGTTCTTTGTTCTGAAGGGGCGGTGGAGTAGTGTCGTGGTTGTAGTGCCCGCCAGGGTACAATGGGTACAATGTGTTAAGCCCATTTCTGGTGTCCCCCCTCCGTGACATGCTGGAATATTGCTAAAAGCGGCGTAAAACTAACCTCACTCACTCTTTGTTCTGAGTTGTGTCTGAATTAAGCATACATTTACCGGCACAATGATGTAACCATCGGTTCGAACTTGGTCTTTGTGGGTGGTCAATAACAAAGATATATTCGGTCCACAGATGCTATAAATCTGTTGGCCAGATATCGCTGTCCAGTTTGTGTTTACACCAGTTGCTTTAAGGAATATATTAAATAGGGTAGCACTGTCCCCACCATGATGTAGCCAGTTGTGTCCAGAATCTACCAGATAACGATGTTCCTGTCATATATATACAACAGTTCACACGGATCATTTCTGCGAGTCAATTGTTGTTACGAATCATATCTGCCAGCTAGCTCTGTTATAAGGGTGTATGTCGTCAATTGTTCTTTTTAGGAATCTATGCAAAAGGGTACCTGTTCCCTCGGTCACTATGGTCAGTGTTCACGGGAATCCATATAACAGCCAGATGCATATGGCGCTGTTCCCGTGATCTGTATGGCCAACCGGGTCCTGGGATCCTTTCTACCAGCTGGCCCTGATCTAAGGGTGTATATAGGCAATGGTGTCAATGAATCTATATATTATCTGCATTTAGTCTTGGAATGTTTCCCCTTTTAATTAGTCGACAAACGTAACAACATGCTGATTGACGTTTGATCCGTTATAGTCATTGTCCCTGCAAATGACTTTCACGTGCATTCTGCTTTTGATTTCCTTTCCAGGGTGCCGTTGTACAAAACAACCTTAGCGCTCAGGCTACCTTAAGTCTATGTTAAGGTATGGGAGTTACGGTCACCTTAGCGCAAAGATCGTTTTGTACAACGGCACCCAGGGCATGTATGCGCTGTCAAAATAAACATTGTTGTATAAAGTTCAGTTTTCAACGGTTGCGTTTGTGCACTACACCAGTGGCAATGATCTCTCTGTACAAAATATTGTATTTTGTATATGAAGAAACAAAATCATCATTCTCATTCTAAAGAACTATGTACTCCAAAGCATATTATTTTCTAGTGATATGTTTGTGGTAACGATGTTGTAAACTTACTACAATCGGTAGAAAAGTGTGTCCGTTGCGTTATAGAGGACTTTTGACAGATCTATACTCGTTTGGTTCCCGTGAAGATCGGGGTTAGTATTGATCTTCAGTAACCCATGCTTGTCGTAAAGGGCAACTAACGGGATCGCTAACCTGGTTGACACATGTCATCGTATCCCAATTGCGCAGATCGATGCTCATGCTGTTGATCAATGGATTGTCTGGTCCAGACTTGATTATTTACAGACCGCCGCCATATAGCTTGAATATTGCTGAGTGCGGCATAAAACTAAACTCACTCATTCACTATACGCATTGAGAGGACAATTAAGAGGTCGTTTAGTCCTGATCTGGGACAATTAAAGGGTGGGGGAAGGGGGTTACATTCAGTTTAACGTGAGATAAACCCCTCACCCTACCCCCAACCTCAATCGCTATGGGACTACGGACACAACACATTGCTCTTCGCCTATTCCGTGAAGACAACAACAAACAAGTTAGGGACCTACTGTAGCTCACCCCAACATACCTTTCCTTTTCTTGGAGTGTATTGCGATTCTAATGTAAGTGGTACACTCTTCACTGAGGCATTAAACCCAACTCACTCACTCACTCATATGCATGATGGTTCACTCGTGCATCAATACCTTCCTTCTTTAACTCAAAGCGCCGATTCCAACGGTGAACAGTACCCTACATCAACATGCTTGTATCACTTGCAGCAGGAGAGCAAGGGAAACTATGCAGCCATTCCAACCGCTGCAAACTAATGTTAATTGAAATCTATCGATTAAGGTTGCAGTTTCAGCTGGGCCCTATCCACACCATCGATTATGTTGACCCACGTTCGCGAAGGCACAATAAACATTTCCCAAACTGAACTGATATTTGACGTTCTGATCAACAAGTTTGCTCATAACAAACTTTTCCCAAACTTCGAACTAACTTCTGTTTGTAAACAAGAACTTTTAATGTTCCAGCACTGTCAGCAATGCTGAGGATCCGTACAGAGTTAACAGGTGCGCGGATTGTGGAGTTTAGTCGAGGATTGTGGGAAGGGATATTTGCAGGCTGCCCAGATTGTCTTGTCAGCATGAGCTATGTCCCAGTGAAACGAGACGAATCTTAGATTCCAGCTGTACTTCTTTGGAGCCGAAGAGGCATTTGAAAGCACTAGGCCTAAATTAGAAAGATACCTTTACGCTTAAAGTGAATAGATCGTGGGTACCTTTTAAGATAAATAAGTGTTCATAGGCAGGTAATTTGATTAAATCTTGCCCCTTTTCTTGAGACCCGGACAATGTCAGGCAAGTTGTGTATGTGAGACAAGATCATCGTCATACTGTTTAATTTCTAATGTTACTCTTTCTCACGGTTCAACAGTGGTCAGTTTTTTTCTTTACAATTTGCTCAATCACAATGATTAGCGTGGAGCATTTAATTGTGGTCTGTTGGCCTGAGTCTTGTCCAAAGTGACAATAACCGAGTCAGTAGTTACCTATCGTCACAGGGTCAGGATATAATTCTTTTGCATTCTGCACATACCGTCTAAACTGCAAAATATATTTCATCTATTGTTATGTGACACACATGTAGACATCAGCAGATCTGAATTGCATATGTTTCTGTGGTGCTCTTTGAAAATATCGCCACGTGAAAATTGTAAATGTTTGTGAAGTGTTCTGTCAGAATCATGTCATGCGTTTCTGTTGTAGTCTATGAAAACATCACCACATGGAAATTGCTTGTTTTTGTGTAGTGTTATGTCAAAACATCACCAGATGGACGCATATGCATCATCTTTGTCGGTTATAGTCTGTGAAAGCATGTATCTGTGTAGTGCTCTGTGAAACCATCACCTGGTAGAAACTGCATGTATTTATGTAGTGT